GATAAGTTTTGACTATAAAATGAATTAATTTGACTTCGGTCAACGTTTTGGATAAACGGACCCGGACCCGTGATTTGATGGTCCCGGAGGGTCCGTAGGAAAATATGGGACTTGGGCGTATGCCCGGAGTCGAGTTCCGAGGTCCCAAGCCCGAGAAATGAATTTTTGAAAGAAATTGTTTTCTGAAATTGTTTATAAGGTTTGGAAATGAATTTTGATTAGAACATGTTGGTATCGGGCCCGTATTTTGGTTCCGGCATCCGGTACAGGTCTTATATATGATTTAAGATAATTCTGTGAATTTTGGAAAGAAACGGAATCCATTTGACGTGATTCGGACCTTAAATGCAAATTTGATGTTTAAAGAAGTTTTGAGAAATTTCATTGATCTTGAGGTTTAATTCGATGTTCATGATGTTATTTTGGTGATTTGAGTACACGAATGAGTCCGTAGGATATTTTTGAGGTTGTGTGTATATTTGGTTTGGAGCCCTCGAAGCCCCGAGGGCTCAGGTGAGTTTTGGATAGGCCACGGGGTGAAATTTTGGACTTAAGGAATTGCAGGCCTGCAGACTTCGCATTTCCCAAACTTTCTTCGCAATTCCCATGCTCGCATTTCCCAAACATTTTTCGCAATTACTAGGCTTGTTCGCATTTCCCAAACTTTCTTCGCAATTCCCATGTTCGCATTTCCCAAACATTTTTTGCAATTACTAGGTTTGTTCGCATTTCCGGAACTTTCTTCACAATTCCCAGGTTCGCATTCCCCAAACATTTTTCGCACTTACCAGCATTGTTCGCATTTCCCGAACTTTCTTCCCAGGTTCGCATTTCCCAAACATTTTTCGCAATTCCCAGGCTTGTTCGCATTTCCCAAACTTTTTTCGCAATTCCCGGGTTCGCATTTCCCAAACTTTTTTCGCAATTCCCACATCTGAGACCTGCAATTTTATACTTAGCCGATTTTAAGCCCCATTTTTCATATTTTGTCAAACCCAAACACACTTAGGCGATTTTTCAAGAATCCTTTCTTCTCCAAATCAATTGTAAGTCATTATTAACCAACTTTCTTCAATTCTTATCATCTTTTAACATGATTTCAACTTAAAATCAAGGATTTTCATGGGGGAAATTGGGTGTTTTTGGTAGAACCTAGATTTTTCAAAAATTGGGGATTTGGACCTCGATTTGAGGTCCGATTTCAAAACAAATTATATATTTGGGTTCGTGGGGGAATGGGTAATCGGGTTTTGGTTCGAACCTCGGGTTTTGACCATGTGGGCCCGGGGGCGATTTTTGACTTTTTTGGCAAAACTTTGGGAAATTCATTTTCATGCATTCAAATTGATTCAATTAGCGTTTATTGATGTAATTAAGTAATTTGTGACTAGATACGAGCGAATTGGCGGTGGAATCAAGGGGTAAAGCTATAATTGAAACTTGAATTGTGTTCGTGGCATTGAGGTAAGTGTTTGGCCTAACCTTATCTTGAGGGATTAGGAGTGTGTCCTATTTGCTATTTGTTTTCTCGTTGAGTACGACCTATAGGCATGGTGACGAGTATCTATACGTTGGTGTCGAGCGTGACCGTTGGTCTTATATTGTGATTTTTATGACTTTGTTGTATTATTCATGCCTTGGTGAAGATTTCTAATTGTGGTGCAAAGTTGTGAAAAGAACTGTGACCTATGAACATTGACGAGCGTTGACTCCAGTTGTATAACGAATTGTGAAAGTATAAGTGATAATTGAACCTCTAGAGCAGTGGCTCGAGTGATAAAGTAAATTGTGAAGTAAAAGTGAGAAAGAGAAGAGATCATTATGTTGCCGTTTGCCGGGCTATTATTGAGTTGTGGTTCCCTTGTATTGTGTTCTTAATTGATATTACTGATACTTAGGTTGATGATTTTTTGTGTTAGGTAAGGATTATGGTTATAGCTGAGGTAGTTAGATGTTGGAACAAGTTTGAGTATAGCTGAGGTAGATAGGTGTTGTAACAAGTTTGGGTATAGCTGAGGTAGTTCGGTGTTGTGACGAGTTTGGGTATAGCTGAGGTAGTTAGGTGTTGTGACGAGTTTGGGTATAGCTGAGGTAGTTAGGTGTTGCGACAAGTTTGGGTATAGCTGAGGTAGTTAGGTATTGTGACAAGCTTGGGTATAGCTGAGGTAGATAGGTGTGGTAACAAGTTTGGTTATAGCTGTTTCTTTTCCCTTGACGGGATAGTGTAGACCTTTTGATCCCTTGTCGGGACTCTCATTACAATTGTAAGTATATATATATGGATCGGGTTGCACGCCACAACAATATTATATATGGTTCGGTTGCACGCCGCAATAATATTATATATGGATCGGGTTGCACGCCGCAACAATATTATATATGGATCGGGGGGATCGGGTTGCATGCCGCAATAATATTATATATGGATCGGGTTGCACGCCGCAATAATATTAAATGGGAGCGGGTGGTACGCCTACCACGAAATATAATAAAATGGGAGCGGGTGGTACGCCTACCATGAGATATAGGAAATGAGATCGGGTTGCACGCTTGCAACAAGATGTGAAAAGAAAGTGAAATATGCCTTTGTTTTTCCTTACTCTCGTTAGTGGTTGGATTTTGATTCCTTTACATTCTATTGATATTCTGTTTTTGCCTATTTTTCCCCGAAGCATGTATCCCCCTCCTATCTTTACTTGTTTATTTCCGTGTTTCTTTTCCGCTATATATAATTGAACTGCACAGGTTTATTTGGTAGTCTGGTCCTAGCCTCGTCACTACTTCGCCGAGGTTAGACTAGGCACTTACCAGCACATGGGGTCGGTTATGCTGATACTAAACTCTGCACTCTTTTGTGCAGACCCCAGTGTTGTAGACTTCGGACCGCAGTGGGATTGCTGATTCTCATTCATCAGGCGACCCGAGGTAGTCCTGCAGGCGTCCGCAGGCCTTGTGTCTCCTACTATTTACTATTCCTGTTTCTTTCATACATTTCCAGATACAGTGTTGTATTTAATTCTTTCAGACCTTTATTTGTAGTATTCTTAGACCGTCTGTGAAACTGTGACACCAGTTCTGGGTAGTTGAGACTCAAACAGTTGTATTAGATATTCATGTTCAGATAGCTTATTGTTTCTTTCTTCCGCTTATGTTAAATTGCTGTTTAAATGTTATTATATTGAAATTGTTAATGAATATAAATGGGTAAAAAGGATAAATTGTGAAATTAATTGGCTTGCCTAGCTCGTACTAGTAGGCGCCATCACGACTCCCGAGGGTGAGAATCCGGGCCGTGACAATTTGTGATGACCTGCTCCATGATTATGGAGTAGTTTCCCTTAGGATTTGACGGATATGGTATTTTGATAAATATTTGTGGATTTTAACTCTAGTTCTTTGCTTGAATTCATTTATGGAGCTTAGAATTATTGCAACTTTATTCACCGGTCTATTTAATCGAAAGAGGAATATTTTGATGATTATCTTTGCATTATTTTGTTTGATTTAGTTCATCGATTCTCTTAAGTAATCGAAGAGCTTGTTGAATTGTTGTTTAAATCAAGTTAGGAGAATATTCGAGAGACATTTTCCTAAAGACTAATCCATTAACGCATGCTTGCATACTTTCACTATGCTTATATTAGTTCACATCGTAGAGTTAAATATTTAATCGAGAGAGAAGTCTTGACTACACGTTTGAACTAATCATCGAGTGAATTTGAGAATTATTAGAATATTATAGTGAATTAAACTAGAGTTAAATCCCAAATAGCTATCTTCCACCTATCATGTCAGACCCTTATTCGTCCTATTGATAAGAAACAAACTCTGCTAATCTCTAGTTCTCTGCAGTCAATTGTCAATTGCTTTACTTTAGTAGTTAATCATAATTGGTAATCAATCCAAATCAAGTTTTGATCATCCTGAATAGCAGTTAAACCATAAATTACTAGAGCATTGTTTAAATCCAATCCCTGTGGAGACGATAATTAAACTATACTATCTTTGGCTAGCGAACATCAAATTCGTGTTGTATTTTGCGCTCGTCAACTACACCATTCAATTAGGGGTACAACAATAACAACAAACCCAGTGAAATCCCACAAGTGGGGTCTGGGGAGGATAGTGTGTACGCAGACCCTCGACTCAAGAACAATGAAGATGAAGCAATATGCAAACAATAGCAACAAAAAGGTAATAAGACAATAGAAGCAAATGATACAACAGAGTAATAACAGAGATCCAGGAATACAAAACTACTAGAATAGTGCCAATCCTAGTTATAATAATCACACACCGTATAAAAACAAGGGACTAGGAATATGAAAACATACGACTAGTTAATACTAATGGTAAGACAAAGCGAAACTCTAGACTGTCGGTCAACCCACCACCCTAATTTTCTATCAAGGGTCATGTCCTCGGTAAGTTGGAGTAGAGACATGTCCTGCCTAATCACCTCACGCTAGTTCTTTCTTATGCCTCCCTCTGCCCCTCCTTGTTCAATTAGGGGTGTTCATGTATAACCTAAAAATCGCACCAAATTGTAAATGACACTAAATCAATATTTTCTTTGGTTTGATATTATACTTTGGGAAACTGATAGTTAGGAAAAGCAAAACGACCAAACCAAACCAATGAAATATACACCTATAGATACAATTTACTTACATGATACTCTATTTTTGCTGGCATGGTTTTTTTTCTTTTTTCTTGGTGAATTTTTTCTCTTTATTTAGTTGGAACACAATCTTAATTTACACATTCCTCTAATTTAGTTTCTAAATTAATATTACCTATAATTATTTGTTAGTATTAAATGTGTGGTTGACTAAAAATAAATTATCTTAGGACAACAAGTTAAAAACCAGGATTTCAGTTATTGCAGTTATTCTCGGTTGAATATCTGCACAAACTCAACGACAAAAACGGTTTTCCAATTGTTTTTTTACTAGAAGTCTCATGTGGTCCTTTGTTCTCTGGCTCTTTTGCACCTTTGCCACTTTCATCCCCTAAATTTGTAAAACAGGGGAAAAAAATAATACAAATAAAAACACAAAAACCACAAAATTATCCAAACAAGTAAAATTTCTTCGTACCTCAGCTAACAAATGAAAATTCCTGAATTTTACTTGCAAAATTCCATTACTGGGACGAAAATTTTCCAGGAATAGTATGGCCAATATTTTCCATGTTATGATCAAAACATGCCTTATTTGCATTGTTTTCTTGATCAATTACCCTATGCCTTCAATTTCTGTTACACATACTGAAGCCTTATTGAAATTGAAACAATCATTTACAAATGCAGAATCTTTGGATTCTTGGAAACCCGAGACCGATCCATGTGACAAAAATAGTCGTTGGATTGGTGTTATTTGTCAAAATCAAATTGTTAGGAGTGTTCTACTTGGACGAATGAATTTATCTGGAAATATTGACGTTGATTCATTGTCACAACTTCCTGGTTTACGAACACTTAGTTTTCGTAGTAATTCGTTCTCTGGACCGATACCTGAATTCAATCGAATGGGTGCATTAAAAGGACTTTATTTGTCAGCAAATCAATTTTCTGGTGAAATTCCATCGAATTATTTCGATAAAATGCAGTCATTGAAGAAGTTATGGCTTTCTGGCAATAAATTTAGTGGTGAAATTCCTTCATCAATATTACAACTGCATCATTTGATTGAGTTACATTTAGAGAATAACCAGTTTTCAGGTCCAATCCCAACGTTGAACCAGTCGACATTGTTATCACTCGATCTTTCGAATAATAATTTGAAAGGGGAAATTCCAGAGAGTTTATCAAGATTCAATGCAAGTTCTTTTAAGGGAAATGCTGAGCTTTGTGGAGAGAAATTAGGCAAAGCTTGTGATCATCAGCCCCCAAATAGCAATAATAATAATAGCACGAATAATAAAAGTCATGGAAATTCGAATAAAAGCATCTCAATTTGGGTCATGATAGCGTCCATTGTACTGTTATTGATCATGGTAGTAGGAATATATTTCATGTGTCGTAGGCAACAAAATCGTCGTGCTGCTATTGAAAGTTTTGAAGAGCCATCACTCGGGAGGAGGATTTCGAGTGATAGCAAGAAATCATTTGAATTAAGTCGAAGAGGCAGCTCGATACGCAAAGGATCAATAAATGGGAAACGCATAGGCGATTTGACAATGGTAAATGATGATAAGGGTGAGTTTGGGTTAGCAGATTTAATGAAAGCTGCAGCAGAAGTGTTAGGGAATGGTCCATTGGGTTCTTCTTATAAAGCAATGATGGCAAATGGATTAACAGTTGTTGTAAAAAGGATTAAAGAAATGAATAAGATTGGAAAAGATGGTTTTGATGCAGAGGTTAGGCGTTTAGGAAGATTAAGACATAAAAATATTCTAACACTTTTGGCTTATCATTATCGTAAGGAAGAGAAGTTGTTTGTGTATGAGTATATTCCTAAAGGCAGCTTGATGTTCCTACTTCATGGTAAAGTACCTTGCTCTTAACTATTTTAAGTCATTTCTCTTAAATATTATCTGCACACATATATATACTTGTGTATAATAAAAATCTAGCTATATGATTTTGTTAAATGTCTCACATTGGTTGACAGAATGAGCGCAACCCGCACCTTATGAGCTGACTTTTGAGATTCGGTTAAGCTCAATGTCCTTTTCCTTAACATGATATCAAAGACACACTCATTCCTAATCTTGGATAATCCTAGGGCTGTCTAATTTGGCCAAGTCCAAATAAACCCGCCCAACCCCCCTCCCAAGTTGGGCTGGTTACTGACCTCCCTGTCTACTGAACTCAGCCCATTTTGATCCAACCCATATAAATTCGGTTGAATTTTAGTCTTAATTGATCCATGAGTAATTTTGCCAAAATATCTTAGAAATAATTCTTTTTTTTTTTTTTGATATGTTATGTAAGACCATAACAAAAGAAAAAAAATCTTACTATATGTTGTAATTGTACAATTTATAATAAAATAACACATAAATAAAGTTTGATAAGAGTTGGGCGGTTTGGGCTATGACCCAACTTTTTTAGCCCATCTTGACCCAACTAATTTCAACCCAAGTAACTTTGGCATGTTATTTGTTTATTTAGCCCATTTTGAGACTCTCAAAGTCGGCCCAACCCGCTCATTTGACACCCCATGATAATTCTCACCTCATGAACAAATTTTTGGAGTTGAGTTGGCTCATACTGAGCCGGTGAGCCCCCATGGTATGTTGTTCAAGCTCTATATGTCCGGTCCTGGTTGTAGGGACCATATAACGTTCTGATTTGATTGAGGGAATGAACTATTAACTCCTTATATTGTTTAGGATTATCCCACCTCGTGACATGACTTTTAGCTTAGGTTGAATAAGACCCAAGATTCATTTCCGTAACAACATGAAGCTATGTTTACTCTGTATTTGTAGTTTGGCCTGCACATGATTTATTTGTGATTTAAGTATTTCTTATTTTGATTGCTGCATCCTTTATGAATGATTACAGGTGATCGAGGAATTCCCCATGCTGAGCTCACCTGGACAGTGCGTTTAAAGATTGTACAAGGAATAGCTCAAGGATTAAGTTATCTTCACACTGAACTTGCCTCTGATTTGCCTCATGGCGATCTGAAATCGAGTAATATACTTATAAACACAGACCACGAGCCAATAGTCACAGGCTACGGATTCTACACCTTGATCAACAATGCACACGCAGCTCAAGCACTAATCGCGTTCAAATCTCCAGAAGCAGTACAAAATCACCAAGTTACACCCAAATCCGACATTTATTGCCTAGGAATTGTCATTCTCGAGATATTAACAGGGAAATTCCCGTCTCAATATCTAAATACCGGTAAAGGAGGGATTGATATAGTACAATGGGTGAAATCCGCGATGGCTGAGGGAAGAGAAGCTGAATTATATGATCCAGATATAATAGCAAGTGCCAAAAATTCATCGAGTCAAATGAAAGAATTACTTCATATTGGTGCAGCTTGTGTAGAGAGTAATCCACAACAAAGGATCAATATTACAGAAGTAATTAGAAGGATTGAAGAAATACAACAACAAACGGGACAAACGATTCAGATAATGCCATCATTGAGAGATGGATGTGCGGAAATACCAGTGTCACAATCCCCTACAAGGAACACTTAATTGGGAATTTCGCGACTGGTAATTCAAGCCGTGGTTAATGTTGCAGCTTCTCCTATGGTCGTCAGACTAATGATAGTTTATTAACTAGTTGCTAGTACATATATTACTGACTAAATTTTTCTTTGCATTTGTGTATTTTTTTTATTTTTGCTTTTTTAGATGCTCCATTATGTATCATTTCATTACCAACCTCATAGAGAGCAGCTGCATCCTGTGGAGAGATGAAAGAGCATATGCTTGCTTTTTAGAAATGTCAATGAAATACAATTTCCTATTTCTATCATATTGTTGAGTACTAACTCTTGTAGATAAGAAATTTCTGAAGTACAAAATACAATTATGTTCTCATGTGGCATTGACACTGAGGATTTATATAGCCAGAGCCGGAATTATGCTAATATCGAAAGAGGTCACCGGCGCCCGTAAAGTTCGGCAAAAATTTCATGTATACATATATGTGTTTTTAGGAAATAGGGATATATTAGTAGTGGACACCTTATATACAAAGCAGATTTTGGTTGCACCCAAATAGTGCACCTCGACTTTCAAATCCTAGTTCTGCCTCTGCATATAACCGACTCAATTTGCTTGGGTTGAACCGTAATGGTTGTTGTCCGTTTATATTTTTCACACAATTAATATAGAAGTGTGAAACATCAAACCGGATGACTAGTTATTTTAAATGTAAATGAAGTTAACTGGCGTTTCCAGTGAACAATACTGCATAGATTTCTCTTTAGTTTTTGTTTTCTCCCTCTTCCTCTTTAAATTCTGATGCCTGGTAAGTTATTTATTTTGCAAGGGGTAGTCAGTGATTGTCTTTACATTAAAACATAAATTAAAATTATACACTGGAAAGAGTAGAGTTTTTATTTTAAGATTATTTTAAAAACGCATTAAATGAAATGTGTGGATCTCTCATTGGCAATGTATATGTACGTTGGTTGACGGTGACCTCACTGATGATGAAATTATACATTACAGCTGGAGATGAAAGAACTAAAATGTCACACACAAACTAATCTGGCAAATAACAATTAGTGCCCGTTTGGACATAAAATTTGATGGAAGATTTTTCCAAAAGAATTTCACTTTTTTTCGAAATCAGCGTTTTCATAAAATTTTCAATTTTCACTTGAAGATGTATTTTGAAAATTTTTGAAAATTTGAAAAACTGCAAAAGCTGTTTTTCTAAATTTTCACTCAAATCACTCACAAAACTTCAAAATCAATCCAAACTGAAATTTATGTCCAAATACAATTCTAAAGTTCAAATACCATTTTCACTTGAAAAATTTTTCACAGTTTTTTGGAATTTTACAATGCTTATGTCCAAACGCCTACTTAATATCACACCCTGTTGTATTGGAGGAGTTTGCATCTATAGATTAAAAATTATTTGGTATTCTCTTATATATATACAACAACAACAACATCCCAGTAAAATCCCACAAGTAGAATCTAGGGAGAGTAGTGTGTACGCAGACTTTATCCCTACCCTAGAGGAGTAGAGAGGTTGTTTCTGATTGACCCTCGATCGGTTCAAGAAGAGAGGAGACAGTAGATCAGTAACAACAAAAAAAAACAGAAAGATAATATTTTCTTATATAAGATATCTTAATATATATGTGAATGTACATAGGAAACAGTAAGAAAGTGTAACAAGTTGTATCCAAAACCTGTCTGAATACAGAACCAAACAGGTTGGTTTTCGAAAATGTATGAGCTGTTTTTTGGAGCTGAACACCACAACACTAGTATTTCTATATACACCAATTTAGGATTTCAAAAATTGATCCATTAAACTTATATATTTTCGAGTTACTTACTAGTACTAATATAATATTAAAACACACAATTTGAGATGATAGATTTTCGAGTTGTTAATTAGCTATTATACTGCAGCACTCGTGTGATCCTGACTTGCTTTCCTAGATTGTTTGCCAGCTATGAAACAGCTTTTGTTGCACACATAATTTTGGATCATTTAATGGAGGAAGAAAGGAAGCACAAAGCACAAGTTAGCTTAGCTAGATTCCTCCTTTTTTTACATTTTCAAATGTATCGAAATAATATTGCTTGCATTTCACACATACAAAATATGAATTCCAGCTTTCATTATTGTCTCACTCCGTCACTCCATCACGCGTACGTACGGTTCAAAATCAATGACGGATTCAGAATTTTGACGTGTTGCATATCAGGGCGAGCTAGCCGCGTGCAAGATATGAGGTTAGCCGGATTCAGTAACTTTGGTTCAAACTCTACATTTATCTTAAGAAATTCATTTAATATGTATAAATTATTAATTTGGAACTCAGTAACCTAAAATTGCTAGAATCTCGAACCAATAAGCTTCAAATCCTGACTCCGCACGCCCTTTGTTGCAAACATTATATATAAAAACAGGGATTTTTACACAAATAGCATGTCATATTCCTTGTTTACTTAATTTTTCTATCTATATACATAGTTTATACATTGATTATACATAATTATACACATATAATCCATAAATTATGCATATGTTATACCTTCATCGGCTATATTTAGTTTAAGCAGAATATAGTTTAAGCAGTTTAATGAGCGACTATTTGGGTTAATTCTTCATAAAAATATGACAAAAAATTAAACATGATATTGAAGCAGACAAATATCTCGCATTTCAATTGTCACCTATTATGAAAAAAAAGATTTCTAATTGTTTGCAACACTAGGTTATGTCGAACATGTTAACTCCACAATCAATTATGTTATTGTTCAAATAAGATGTTCATACAATTCAATACATTATGAGTCCTATACTTATTTTTTCGCACATATATGTAAGTTTCAACTTTAAAACACTAGGTTATATGTTATTGTCTGAACCCATAGCTGAATGTATTATTGTCTGAAATTATTTAGTATATGTGTATTGTTTTATGAGCAAGAATTGTGTACGTGCAAGCATGCACGCACGTGAATGCCACACAGTACGTACATAGATAAGTTGACTTCATTAAATTCTATCATTCGTTTACTGATCTCATTAATTAGTTTTTGCTGTTGCCTTTCTACGTGTCCTGCCTTGTATAGGTAACCAAACTAGGTTAAGGATTTAATTTAAGTTAAAACTTAATAGGAATGTATGCTTTTTTCCCTTCATTTACGCCTTTACTCTTCATCGCACTAATTGAACAAAATGCACGCAACTTGAACTTGTTAATCTCAAAATTAACGGTGTTCGGATTGGCTTATTTTAACTGTTTGAATTGCTTTTTAAGTATTTTTCTAGTTTGTGTGGTATTTGACAATGATAAAAAGTGCTTAAAGTATTTACTTTTAGGCATAAAAAGTACAAAAATAAGCCAAAACCCAAAAATTGATATTACCAACTTATGACTTTTGGCTTTTAGCTTAAAACTGCTTTTTAAAAGCCAATCCTAACACTCTCTTATAGCCTGTTTGGCGAAGCTTAAAAGGTGCTTTTTTTTTTCAAAGTTGATGTGTTTGGCAAGCTTTTGGAAGAAAAAAAAATGCTTTTGAGAAGAAACAGAAGCAGTTTTGGAGTAGAAGAAAAAAGTAGCTTCTCTCCAAAAGCACTTTTTTGAAAAACATTTTTGAGAAAAATACACTAAGAAGCAGTTTATAAAAACTTGGCCAAACACTAATTGTTGTTCAAAAGTGTTATATAAATTAATTAGTCAAACACAAACTGATTTTCACCAAAAATACTTTTGAGAAAAATCACTTCTCAAAATAAGCTGTTTTTTGCAATTTGGCCAAATAGACTATTGGTCATATGTATCTAGCTCCACAACTTTTTCAAAATAACACATTGAAGCAGTGACGGAGGCAGGATCTTTGCAAAAGGGGTTCAAAACGAAAAATTTAAAAATAATTGTAGCATGTAAGTATTGAACCCATGATCTTACAAAGGTTTTAAACTCCCTTGACCACTATACTACACTTTTAGGATGTATTATGGGGATTCAAAACATAGTATATAGAGGTAAAAAATAAATTTTGTCTTATAGTAATTTTTCGACGATGCCCTTAAATCCGCCCCTGCATTGAAGTACTAGCTGTTAATTCGTGTATATTGTAGTCAACGGATTACTACCTTTTCAGATTTTCAAAAGTTGGTCAACAAGAGTGTAACATATGTTATAGGAATAACTTAATTATTGTTCGTAAAATTTGGCTATTTTCAACTTATTGATAATTTGATAAACTCAAATCTTTCTTTTTGTTTCACTTTCTTACTCTTACATGCTCATTATTAATAAGAATAAGTTATAGTTAATGGTTTGATACAACTTTTTACTTCTGCTATGTAAAATCCGTAACATTCATATTTATGAGATCACTTCGTTGTACTATAACTTAAAAAATAAATTATCCATCATAAAAAAAAAGTTTTGGAGCAACCGTAATGTTAATTCTGTGTATGACCTACAGGTCAAGTATTCAAGTCGTAGAATCCGCCAATAACCCTTGCACCTAGGGAGTGCGACACTTTTTCAGATCATGAGTAACACAAAATATTTTGTGCATCAAATTACCTTTTTTAGAGAAAATAATGACAAATAAAAATAAAGTTGTAACCATACTACACCCTCCGTTCACTTTTACTTGACATGTATACTAAAAATAGATTTTCATTTTTACTTGTCACTTTACGCATATCAAGAGAAGACAAAAAAAGATTTCCTGTTATTATACCCACATTATTTATTACTCATTTCAAATTATTTTCTCAAATCCAATAAAATTTGCATCAATTTAATATGGCTATCATGGTAAATTATGCACTTTATTTATTATTTTTTAAGGGGCATGAAAGTCAAAACGCGTCAAGTAAAAGTGAACGGAGGGAGTATTGTGTTAGATAAGAAAAAGAAAATTAAAAAATTAAGTTGAGCTATTAAAGTTTTCAAAAGATTCGTTCGGGTGAAGTCAAGTTTAGTCTAAATTCGGACAAATTTACTTTTAACCGGACAAATAGAAACGATACTACAGTACTCTTCTCAGTACTGTACTTTTTTTTTCTTAGCTCTGAATTATTACCACTGCTAAAATTGATAAATTAATACGTACGGAGTATGTAAAATTCAATGCGCATCCATTTTTTGATTCCTCAATCTTCATCATCATTAATAGGCCTGCATCTTCTTCACCAAAAGCTCGAATCCTTTTTTTGTTTCTTTTTCAGATTCTGAATTTCAAAAATTTAGAATCATCAATGGAATCACCAGAAAAAAACGACGCCGTTGCATTTGAGTCAGCAGAGAAGATAAT